TACACTATATATATTGCACTACTAGGAGTATCTAGTGTACCAAGCTAATAAACAAACCAGTATATCTACATTAGAGGTAGTATCGAGCGTCCCGTAAAGGCACGAGAGAGACGACATGACCTCGACAGCGCGAGGCTGGGAAAATGACCACAGAAACTGGTGTACTTTCTGATACTAAAGACCTTGTCCCAGGTCAGCCTGTTCTATATGGCCACTCTTGTGTTGAGGGAATCGCTCGTGCGTGCTTTTCGGGTCTACAGAACATCTATCCCGATAGGGTGGGACGGTTGGACAGCCTTAGGCGTTAGAGGTGAGTTGTTGGCCGCTGGCACAGTTATGTTGGTATTGACAAAAGTACTTTGAAAGTCAGCACATCTTTCGTGGTATAGAAAGGTTGCAAGAGTACACTTGCGCAATTGACTGAGATCAGCCAAGTTCCTCCCTCTACCGACTTTCGGAACGCGTGTGCCGCTGCTGAAGCGACAAGCTGGATGTTGCGAGCGGATCGTTTTCTCTTCGCTAATGAAATCAAAGGGGGGGAGGGGGGTCCCGCCTTGCAGGACTGTAGACCAGCAGGTAACCGAAGCCGTCCGGCTTGGTGACACCGCGACAATGCTGCGTTACAACATTCTACGTGATGGTACGCCGCAGCCGTTTTCCTGCCTACCCAAGGAGTGCCGCTCTATTGACTAGTTGAGGGAATTTTTATGACGGGCTGCTTTGATTTGCGAAGAATGAAGAGAGGTTTGCTTACCTTGCCATTGGTGTTGATGCTGGTGCTTTGTTGGGAAATACTGAGGAGTTACAATACCATCATCGACGTTGGTTCCAATAGTGACTATTGCCTTTTTTTTTTATTTTTTTATTTTAAAAAAAAAATTTTTTTTTAATTTTTTTAATTTAAATTTTTTTTTTATTTTTTTTTTTTATTTTTATTTTTTTTTTTTTGAACTCGCGGCAGTCTGCGTGATGTTTGCAGATGCGTCGCTAGTGTTCTTTTAGCGCTCAGCTCTAAAGTATCCGTCATGTTTGCTATATCTCGCCAGGGTCAAGGTACAAGTGTTGTCGATGTCGTCCAGTGTATGATAATGTCAGCTCTTGAACAGAGCGATAGTTTTACTGACCAGGTGCGGGTTGGTTTACAACGGCAAAGACGTGGATGAGAAACCAACGACAATAATGTACAAGTCTACAAATATTATGCCTCTCCAGGTTTGATATATTATTGGCAGTAGTGACTGCTGCTGATGCACTGACGACTGTCAAATTCTCAGTCACTATCTATCTCTAAGTCGGCCGAGCAATGATCGCAGATGCCTGTAGGCGATTAATGGGACATCTCCCCATACCCAAAACAGACGATTGAAAGCACTAGTCTTGAATGGCAATCAGGAGCCTAGGCTTACATAAAAGCCAAGTTGATATCGGCCGGCCGGGCGCGGCTGACTAGGGTAGTCTAGATACAGGTGTCGACAGTGTCTTGTAACTACTTGTAGGTATGTTACCTACATATTGAGCAGGATCTGGCATGAAGATAACGAGATGTCTCTTGACATGCAGCAGTCAAACTAGTCAAGTACAGCATATTCCGTGATGACTGTTGTGCCATGCGGGACTGGCTACCGGTCCTCAGAGGGCGGTCACCCTTAACCATTCGATGGTATGAAGGGGAAACGCCGTTGAGAGATACCAAGAAATTGCCTTATGCTCCCAAAGATCACATACAGGCAGTAGTAGGCGACGAGGTACTAAAATATTGCGACCCAAAGGGTAAAGCAAGGGATGAGGACTTGCTGTCAAGGTTTCGTCGTTGGAGGGAATGCCCTTTGTCTGTTCTTACCACCAACTCCGCTAAGATCAAGGGGCGGTAAAAGATCAAGAGTTATGTGAAAGGTGCATGTCTCGCCGCTATCCCCAACATGCAGACTGGGGTTCTCGTTACCAGTTTGCTGTTTCAAAAAAAAAAAAAAAAAAAAAAAAAAAAAAAAGGGCGCCGTTTGTGACACCCGCTGGTTTCGATTCGGACAGGAAAAACAAAACGGCATCGGGCACCAACCGGGCTGTGAGGAGAAATGGTACAATCTCAGTACGTACGGGAGCCCTGGAATCTGCATGCAATGTGCGTATCGCTGTCAGGCCATTGTTGTAAATAGACCGGTCCATGATTGCCGTCTGGTCCGCTCGTGGTTCCTTATGTTTTCGTATCATTGTTATTCCGTCATAGAACACAGTTAGTAAGAGCAGAAACTTTGGGAAAATGGCAGGATGCGCTATGATGGTCCTTGAATATGTGGAAGTTGGCAATGTCTCAGGTTGCGCAACTCGGCAAAGCCCGCAAGAATGGCGTATGTACATCATTGAGAGTGATGATCGCTCATCGGGAGTGCAAGATATGGTTTGTCGATCGATATGCGTGTGGATGCTGTGGTTGGCACTGGGCTGAACCAGGGCAAGTGTCTTGAATCGTTGTCAGTATAACCCCAACTCTCTCTTGCCAGGGATTGAAAAGATTCGTAGACCCTCCTCCGCATCAGTGGCCGATGCCAACAAGCAGTTGTTCGAATCGACAAAGCTAACCGCACCCGCCCTTTGCGACACCTTATTCCGCCACGCCTGGCATCAGCACTCGGTTGCGAACAACTCTCCTCCGGCTCCAAACTGAGCTCCAACTCGCTACTAACGATCACTGGTGTGACGGTACGCACAGCGAGTCGCATAGTAGGAGACTCAAGGGAGTACATGAAGCAGAAACACCCCTTCCTATCGTCATCGTTTCGACGGTTTTTGGAGGCCGGATCGATATGGTTCGCCACGTTTCAAAGGGAACCTGGGCGTTGGCGCCATACCAACCGACGTATCGCTTGCGCAAACCAACCCGAATTACACTTTCTAGAATCGATATCCCACCTAGACGAGCCATGTCATGTATTCATCTCGGACCGGAAAGAAGGGTACAGCGTACTTTGATATGACTGGAAACATGGCATCAGTACACCCAACTGCTCATGTGACTAGAAGCGTTTGCCTTGTTGCCCCGGTACATGAACTTTTCCCGTCTCACAAAAGGAAAGTGGCAATATCCAAGTAGTCTGGGAGGATATTGTTGTCTTGAACGTTCCAGTCACTGACCTTTGAGACGGTCGCCTGCAGTCAAAAGGCCGTCTGCCTGACAATCTGCTCCAACAACTGCAGTAGGACAGCATGTCGTTAGGGTGCCAAGCGGCTCCGGGGCCGGCAGCGGGAATCTGACAGGGCAAAGACAGCCGATGGTGTTTCCTTTCCATTTGATTTGCTGGACCTTGTCAGTGTTTTGGTTGTTGCGGTCCCAAGTCCTCTTAACCATACTGCGCTCGAGAGCGCCGGTCAGCCAACCTAACTCTGTGTGAAGACGAGAATACGGCAAGAATTGATCGCAGGAACACTTGTTCATGGTGAGAAAAGCGAACCGCCAAGGCTCGGGCGCCAGTGCTGCCTTCAGACAGAGCAGGACCACTTCAACAATCTTCAGGTTTGACAAAGTGAGACAGATATCGGGGCCTTGACGAAGCGTTTGTCATACCAAGCAGTATGGCAATCACTAACTGACAACAGGACCTCAGTGACCCCAAGTCAACCAAAGGCGAATCGCCAAAGTTGCCGTCGGCTTGTCCATGTTGAGTGTCGTGTGTGGCTCGCCAGATAAAGCACGTCGAGATGCGGGGGATTGGCGAAGAAAGACTGATGATTGGATGTCGCAGTACCGCGAAGCTGCAGCCTTCGTTACGATTTCGTGATTGGAAGGGCGCCTGTTCGTCGGCATCAACCGAGCGTTGAGTGGGCTCTGGACATTGGGAATCGTGGCACGCACGATTGAAGCGGTGTCGTGATGCAAGTGCGTCAAAAAGGACTGAAGGAGTTGGTAGCGTGCTGAAGAGAATCGATCCTATCGTTGTCGACTGTGGTGCAGGAAGGAAGCGATACGCCGAGCAGAAACTACCTAGAGTGAGAAAAGACTGAAAAGTAGGATCGAAAAACTCGAGGTGACGAGAAAGGTTAAACAAGCACCTGACAGATTCCTTTGACGAATCAATGTTTTGCTTAGTATCTTTGCAGCAGAGGAAGGCGTTTGCAGCTGCCCTAGCAGACCCAACAAAACGGAACTGAAATGGAGGTCAGCAAAGCAATGAAAGCGCGTGTCGATAAGACAGGACATGTCTCGGTTCTATTGCGTCTTGCTCTCTCCCTCGGTTGAACTCTTCGGACTCTAGATGAAGCCAATTGTGCACTGGAATTGTGACGAGACATTGACAGCCCTCTTCACAGCCAGGCGAGCGCCCTCATCTCAGCAAAATGCGGCACACATCGATTGATTGCAACGGGGATGCATTGTGCATTGTCATGCAATCTTGGGGAGAGCCGAATCGAGCACAGGCCATGGTTCCTTGATGGTTCGGTTCCCTTTCCATTTTCCAAAAATTCCAAAAGTGGCCCCTCCACACCCTGGTGCTCTGATTCCAAAAACAGAAGGCTAGGTGGGTCCTTAGCGGCAATCACAAATTGGACCCGCCCTCATCGATCATTGGACACAGTCATTGGACAGCTGCTGGGATTGGGCGGGGCCGTCATCCCAATCTCGAAAGCGAATGGAGCGCGAACGGCGTGCTCTGGTTGGCGCCCTGGACGAGCTTGTGAGCGGCCCCTGCTTTGATATGCAGGTCAAAAAAGAGCCCGTTCCACTTTGGGGATAGCTCCTTTTCTTTCCCCAGCTCCCCCTGACGGATGGAGCCCTGCGAGCCCACACGCGAGCTCCGTTGCGACCACTCAAGCACACTCGAGCCAAACGGCCAGGGCAGGATGGCACCCAGTGACCCAGGAGAGCCAGGAGTTGGGGCGTGGGAGTGTGCCGGGATGGAGGAGTCTGGCAGGGGGGTTGTGCTTCGTTAAGGCCTTCTGGACCGCTCGCCCGTCTTGTCGCTCACAGGTCGCTCTCTTGAACCGGCCGGGTCCTTCTTCTCCTCTTTCGCTTTCCCCCCAACCCAACTCCTCCATCTCAACTTCTTCAACAACCAAACACCAAACCATCGTCGGCGTCAACGGTCTAGGGGACTGCTGCTCTTTGTCATTCTTTTTCCAACAAAACCCATTCTTTCCTTCACAACCCCTTGGTTTCGACTTCACTCTCTTAGTCGACTCCGTCCAGTCTTTTTTCCCTTTTCACGCAGATCCCCACCGACCACGACGCTGTTTGGACAAACCGGTATATCTTGGGTAGATTCTTGGTACGGCCATCCCTTGCGTGCGTCTCCGGACAGAAGCCCCTGAGCCCCTGAACCCTCGAGTCCCAAACGTCACCATAGACTTTCTTCACATAGCAGTCCAGGAATGGCAGGAGACTATGGAGAACACCAAGATTCGCGGCGCGCCCACAACCACGAGACGAAGGGACCAGTTGCTAACAGTTTTGGCTTACTACAGATCCAGAATCCCGACATATCCATCGTTTATAGGTAGCTTTTGAAGAAGCATTATCGAGTGCCGCGACCAATCTCACACCGACGACATTCGTTCTACCAAGCGTACATATACCCGTACAACACACTCATACACCACATACCACCACATATAAGCTACACTCTTTACATACACAAACGTCCAAATGGAGTCACTTAGAAGCTTTGCTCGCCGCACCGTCGATGATGAGTCGTCCAAGGACCACATTGTCAACCTAATGATCGCCCTCTTGGCGCTCGTCTTTTGCGCCCTTCTGTCAGTCACCATTCTCCTGCTCCTCAAGAGAATCAAGCAAAAGACGCCCGGGCACAGCGAGGGTCTTCCTCAGTACCGCGACGACCAAAAGCATTCCAGTAATCACCGACGTCTAACGATCTCGACCGGGCCCGGCGCCCCCCGGTCCAGCGTCATTGTCTTCAAGGATGGACAGCCCATGCTGGCCAACCCTGCTTCCCCTCCTCACTCGCCCGACAACGTTCCCGAAATCCACATTACGTTCCCGGATGAGCAGGATGACCAAGGCCGCCGCCGCAGCGGTCGTGTCCTGGTTGTCAGACTTGGAGAGTCGACCATTGGCCTCGAACCCCGCCAGGATGAGCAGCTCCCCGCGTACGAGAAGGAAAGCAACTCGCAGTTTGTCTCGGTCGATATCGAGAAGATCGGCGGCCTCAAGGAGAAGGAGTACCGTTAAAGTGTAGATATAAACGGCACAAGTTGATGAAAAAGAAACAAGACCGACCTGGCAAATTGAAGAGCTTGCTGTGCTCCTTTCTTTCTTTTCGGCACATGAGGCTTCTGTTGGGGTTCGCTGTTGCATTGATGACTTTTTCAAGTTTCGGAGTTTCAAGGCGTGTACAGGAAACATAGGACACTACCGCACGGCGAGAGCTGTTTACTTCTTTCTACATTTCAAAAAGGGAACAAGGTCTAATTCCGCGCGCTGGACGAGGCTTGCCCGCCAGAGGGGCGTTCGAAAGAGATGGGACAACACATCAGGGGAGAGGCAGGCCTGAAGCGTCACAGCACATGTTGGTTCTCCTGGGTGCCCCTGTACATTGTGCACATATTAGCCACGCCGCAACTTGGGCCCCGCACTCTTGACTTGGGAGGTTCTCTGTTGATGGATCTTGTGGGAAAAGAAAGCGGCTAGTTTCAATTGCGACGTATTTTGTCATTGGGAAAGCGAGAAGTTGGAAAGAGTGGTTGACATGGCTACCTCTTTTTTTGCCTTGTGCATGCATCATCGCTATTCTAGTATTGTGTAATTTCTATTCGAAGCTCTGTCACTTGGCCGAGTTTGTTAACGTCTCCTTTGTTTAACCGCCATAGAGATGATATTAAGATCAGGACCACTAGAGAAAAAAAGGCTCACAGAACGCAGCCATGGAGGGTTCTCATATTCTTGTATATAGTTTTTCATCAGACTCGGACGGCCTTTTATAAATATACCCTACTCTGCCTCCGCAGAAGACAGACTTTGATGAAGCTGAAACATGTGATGACAGCTTCTTCCATGTTTTTTTTTTTTTTTTTTCTTTTTTTCTTTCTTTGGCTCGACCCAACAGATCCTGCACGGCCAGGGACCGATCACCAGACAGGATGGAAGCATTGAAGGGTTAGGGTTGAAGCTGTGATGCTAACACATGCCCGCCTTCGGGAACGACCTCACGACTCGCAAAGGCGTCGGCCGGTGAAGTGTGGGGAAACTGTCGCAGCACAAGTCAAGACCGTGACGGGATTGACATTTAGATCCCAGAATGCTTCAAGCTTCTGAAGGAGACCTGAATACCTATTTATGCAATTGATGGGACTTTTCAACTTTGTTCCACAAAAGCAATGGACGCGTTCGTCCTTTTTATGTCGTGAATACACACGCTTATTTCCACCATACATATCTCTCGTGATTGGAGCTTCCTGCATCTCATCATCGACGGCTCCACGTTCGTCTCTTTGATCCATTGGCATTTCCCCAAACAACCCCACAATCCCCAACGCAGTCGGCAGTGAGATAACCGACACCGACACTCTTTTGCGGCCTTACCATCACCGGCCGGGACGTGGGACTTAATCCCTCGCTCGTGCCGATATTATCCTCACCTTTTTTTTTCTTTTCTTTGGACCGGACAAGAATCCCGCTGACTACAACTCTGTGGTGGTCCCTCAAGCGTTCCTCCTTCCCCGGGCTTCCGAGTCGATCCCTCTCCGCTCGCCGCCACGATGCCGCCGCCGACAAAACCGACATCGAAGAACCCCCCGCCGCAATCGCAGACGGAATACCAGGCAATCGCTGCCAAGTTCGCCGCCGCGAAGCGTGCCAAGGCAGCGCAAGATGCGGCAAAGGCACGAACGGTTGGAGTAGCGAAAGCGGCAGAAGGTGAAGCCATCGAGAAGGACCGCGTCAGTCTGGCCGACAAGCAACGCGCAGCCCTCGAGGCCCGGCGCAAGTCCAACTTTGAGGCTCGCTGGCTATGGACCGTCGGCTTCTGGGTCTGGCTGCTGTTGATCCACGTCGCCGGCATTGCCTACTTCACCAGCGGCTTCCTCCTGACCCGTCTGATGCTGGACGAGAAGTCAGTGTGCGACGCGCCGCCGACTCTAAATACTAGCACCAACGGTGTCGTGGACATTCTGCCCAACTGGAAGGGCAAGGGAACAGTGGATGGAGGCTGCTGGCACCCCAAGACCTTTGAGCGAGCCGTGGTTGTCGTGATTGATGCGCTGCGCTACGACTTTACCGTGCCCATCAAGGACGACGCTCCCTTTCACAATGCGTTCCCCTTCATGCACGATACCGCCCTGGCCTCGCCCAACAATGCCGTGCTCAGGCCGTTCATCGCCGATCCCCCGACTACAACACTGCAGAGGCTCAAGGGCCTGACTACCGGCACTTTGCCCACCTTTGTGGATGTGGGTAGCAGCTTTGCTGGTACCGCCATCGAGGAGGACAACCTACTTATGCAGCTCCGGGACGCCGGCAAGCGCACCGTACACCTTGGAGACGATACGTGGGAGTCGCTTTTCCCGGGCTACTTCCAGGCCAATCTGAGCCGGGCCTACGACAGCTTCAATGTATGGGACTTGCATACGGTTGACAACGGCGTTATCGAGCACATCTTCCCCTTGATGAAGCGCAAGGGCGATTGGGACGTCGTTGTTGCGCATCTTCTCGGTGTTGATCACGCCGGCCACCGCTATGGACCCGACCACCCCGAGATGGCCAAGAAGCTGCAGCAGATGAACACGTTCATCAAGGATCTGGCGTCCAACATTGACGATGACACTTTGTTGATTGTCATGGGTGACCATGGTATGGACAGCAAGGGAGACCACGGCGGCGAGAGCGAGGATGAGGTCGAGGCTGCTCTGTGGATGTATTCCCCCAAGCCTGTGTTTGGCAGAACCAAGCCCGAGCATGTCACTCCCCCGGCTACCGCCAAGACTCGTCCGACCAACCAGATCGACCTCGTCCCAACTCTGGCGCTGCTCATGGGTATTCCCATCCCTTACAATAACTTGGGTCACCCGATCGAGGAGGCCTTTGTTGGTCCTCGTGGCACTGCCTGGGACAGGCTGGCTGCCGCGGAGCGCATGGCTGCCGCTGGCATCAAGCGTTACCAGACGTCGTACTTCTCTGCCCGCGGAATCGAGCAGGCTACGACCCCTGGGTCGCCCGCTGATTTGTGGGATAAGGCTGAGGCTCTGGTTCCCAAGGGCAAGGTTAAGAAAGGCCATAGCTGGGAGCCTGTGTTCTTGGCCTATGCTGAGTATCAGAGGGAAACCCTGGATTATTCCAAGAGCCTCTGGGCCAGGTTCGATGTCAAGAACATGGTCATTGGCATTAGCATCATGGCCTCCAGCGTCATTGCTCTTCTTGTCTACATTAACAAGCGTACCGAAGATGACGACGTCTTGGTGATTGAAGACTCCGAGCTTGACCATGCCGAGAAGAGCCTGGAGCTACAGGGTATCACCGCTGACGAAGGCCAAACCCTTGAGAAGCGTCTGTTCCGTGCCGCCATGTTGGGGGCCCTTCCTGGCGTCTTCGGCGGACTTCTGCAATCCTATCTGTCTGGTTATGGTGATTGGTATCGCGGTTCGGCCATCGGCGCGCTCACCAGCGCCGCAACCGTCTTGGTCGCTCTGTACGATGCAGAGGGACCCAGCTTCAACGTCCTCCCCACGACTCTCTGGGGCTGGATGGCCGTGGTCTTTACCATCAGCCAGTCTATCGGCTTTGCCTCCAACTCATACACCATCTGGGAGGACTCGATCCAGCTCTTCATGATGACCACTTTTGGTCTCGTTACGGCCTTCTCGGCGTTCCGCATGGAGTCGCTTCCGGACCGCTTTATGACCATCTATCACTCCGTCCTCTTCGTTCTGCTGGGCCGGCTCGCCTCCTTCTCCAAGCTCTGCCGCGAGGAGCAGATGCCGTACTGCACGTCGACCTATTACGCTAGCGCCACCTCCTCGACCTCGGCCCCCTGGCAATTGGCCATCCCCTTCATCGCCGCCATCATTCTCCCTTCCATCATCAAAGCCTACCTCGCGCCGTCCAAATCATACGAGGGTCTTGCCCCGACCTGGATCGGTTACGTCTTCCGCGCCGGCCTTTTCTTCTCGGCCATCTACTGGGTCCTCGACGCTGCCGACAACGGCAACTGGCTCTCCTCGCTCTCCTCCCTTTCCTCCTACCTCCCCTCCTCGGCCTCCGACACCCTCTCCTCCCTGCCCCCTCTCCCAGACAAGGCCCTCAAGACCCTCTCCGTCTACACCGCGCAAATGATCCTCGGTCTCGCCCTCGTCGCCGGCTCCACCGCTTTCGTCTGGGCTCCTCCCTGCATCTCCATCGTCACCACCGCTCTCCGCTCTCCCAAAACCGCCGCCGACCCTCTCGCTGCCATCCCCGGCGCGCAAACCGCCCAGGTCACCGTCCTAGGCTACGGCAACGCCCACGGCGCTCGCTACCTCCTCCTGCCCCTGAACTTCTTTGTCGCCCTCTTCCTCCTCACCAAACCCATGGGCGCCGGCGCTTTGGTCTTGACTCTCTGGCAATCCCTTTCCCTCCTCGAGATCCTCGACTTGCTTAACCTTCCAATCGGCTCCAACCCCATTGGCCCCGTCATGTTCGCCCTGCTCGGCCAAAATGCCTTTTTCAAGACCGGCCATCAGGCGGTCCTGTCTTCCATTCAGTGGGACAGTGCCTTCATCCCGCTTTACAGCATCAAATACCCCTGGTCACCCCTCTTGGTCATTCTCAACACCTTTGCGGGCCAAATCCTCGCTACCATCTTGGTCCCCATGCTCGTCCTCTGGAAGAGCGGTCCCAAGAGAAGAGGCATCTTGGGAAGTGTGAGCAGAGCGCTCGGCATTTTCGTGGCGTTTTATGCCACCCAGGCGTTGGCGACGATGATGTGGGCCGGGCATTTGCGGAGACACTTGATGCTTTATCGGGTGTTTAGTCCTAGGTTCATGACGGCGGCCGTGACGCTTTTGGTGGTAGATGTGGTTGCCGTGGTGGTGGGGTTAGCAGGTGTGAGGGTGAATATGATGAGTGTGGCAGAGGTCTTCGGGTGGGCTGATTGATTTAAATGAAGGGGGAAAAAAAAAAGAAGAATGAAGTGAATGTTCATGTTGATGCTAATATGTTTGCATGCTTATACAGTTGGCATATATAGAATGGTTAATTGGGTGTTGGGTGGTTGGGTTGGGTGGGTTTGTGTATAAAAATGTTATAAATGTAATGAGTGGGGTTGGTTACACGAAGTAAATAAAACGCTTGTAATGTATGGGTTGAATATAAGAACCTAGAGAAGAAAGCTTCAAGCTGTAAATCGTAAGGTACAAAACCTGTTTAGTCATGAGCATTACAAGCGATTTGGCGCAGGGATATAGAGGTATACATGGTCGCTGCGTAACAGTGAGCTGTGATAGCATCGATATATGAAGGGCAGTGGACGAGGCCGTCAAGTCAGCTCATGATGATAATGTCCAAGAGATATAAGATCGTTGTGCACTGCTATTGGGAGGGGGTACATCCCGTGGACAGTTCGGTGGGTGAGCTGCCAGCCGGGACTATATTCGTTGCCGAGGGTCAGATAAGTCAAGAAACAAAAGTCCCAGAAAATATCAACATCAAGACTTGGAGGGTGAATCAAGTTTATTAGTCTTCAGTTCCCTCCCTCCCTCAAATGAAAGGGGAGACTAGGTAACTAACAGCAAACTATCTGATCAATCACCCAGTTTTCTTCAGAGACCTGCCCGCAAGCCTCTGTTTCTTCAAGTTGTTTCCTCCAGCAATTTCCGCCCGTAACGATTGTATGATAAACCCTTACCCGGAAATATCCAACCTATGAAAATTCAAGTCCAGCCACTCGCAGTTGTACTCTCCTGATGCATTTCCAGAATGCATCCCAACCCGGAAAAAAACTGAAAAAAAAAGACAGAACAAAGACCAAAAACCAAAAGTCAGAATTGAGTATGATCGGATCCATCCTCAACAAATGACATGGTGTCAGCTCACCCCCCGGGGCTTTGTTGGAGACTAGATCCGCCCCGGAGGAAACACCGGGACCTGATGTGTCGTTACAGGGCCGTGGTTTTCTAGCCGGAAGTAACGCCATGCTGGCCAACATCCGGGCCAGGTTCCCCCCATTCTTCGGTCGAGGGGCTGTTATGATCCTCCTTTTTCGCTTCTTCAGGTTTGGGGAGTGCAGGGACTTCGCCTTTGAATTTCTCGACTGCTTCCACCAAAGCAATGAGTTCATTCTCCATTTTATCCAGTTTCTCTTCAAAGGTATCACAGAATGGAATCCCTATTTTGACATCCTGAGGAATGGAAGCATCTGTCATCTCCGCGTTGAACTTTAGTATGTCCTCAACAAATTGGTTGAAAGCTGGCACAGTCCTAGTCAGCAACGCTCACACTCCCGAATACTGCACACACTGAGCAAGTCTTTCTGGGATGGATGACTTACCCTTCAAAAACACGTTGTAGAAAGCTTCCGCCTTCTCCTGGACCCCTCCTTCTTTCCTATAGACTTCGTCGTTGAGCTCCATCTGTCTCAGAATGTCCCGCTCCTTTGGACGTCCATACAAGCCATCGTGAAGCACAGCCAGGGTACTGATGTACTTTTTCTCATTCACGCAATACTCATACCCATACGCCGGGTGATACTCGAGAATTGAGTCACCGAACTTGCTGAACACAGCAGCCGTCCGATCAAAGAGGTGGTTCGTCTCCACCAGAAAGTCGCTGGGTTCCCAACGACTTCTATCAATTGGCGACTCGGGCCTGTAGATCTTCTCGATTGAGCCCGCAAGTGATTTGAGTGATTCCTGCCTTTGTTTCTTTCTGGGAACGTCTTTCACCTCCGACACCGACGACCTGTTTCGCTTGTGGGGGCTTCTCAACTCAACAGGCAGAGGAAAAGATGCCTCGGCATTCCAATCAACTTTGGACGCTTCTGGTATCTCTGCCATGAATTCTTCCCATGGAGCTGATGGGGCCATGGGCTTGCCATCGGCATCACATTTGTTGACGGGAACGCCATTCTCGAACCGAACGAGAGAACTTTTACTGCGTTGATGGCGTTCATAGGGCTCCCGGCCGCCGGTGCTTGGTCTCTCTTGTTCTGACATTGTCGTACGCTTGAATCGATGACACGGAAAGGGGTCTGGCTAACGAGAAGTGGAAGGGGGAGTAAAAGTAGTAAAGATAGCAGACAGTTTATCAGAAGCTTGTCTTGATGCTGATGGGGAGTTGATGTGTTGGTTGCTGATATTGATGCTGATGCTGATGATGCTTGATGATCGAGTGAAGATGGCGATGGTGATGCTGAGATGTTCTTCCTCAACCAGGCCGAGTCACGACCATTTATACTCTGTCATCTCAACTCTTCATCCTTCTCGCTGAAGCTATCTCCAGACCAACGACCCCCAGAGCGCTGCCATCGTGTAGTCGAGTACAAAGAACTCGAAGGCTCAATGAACTTCTCAGGACCAACCGACACCGACGAGGACTGAGTGCGTGCGCAGAGATTATCCCGACATCATGAACGTCCGCCCATTCCGAAAGAAAGAAAGAACATCCCCAAGGGCATCGGCGAATGGGTATCGTAACCAACATCACCCTCATGCCAAAGAGACGAGACGAAGACGACGATATGATGCGCAGGCTGTAAAGACCTCAATAGATGACATTAGCTGCACACCAACAACCGCCGCGACGCAAGGTGAGTGACAAAGATCCTCCATGGCATAGCAAGGTTGGTTCCTGAGGGCCTTTGGGCTGTGTGTGGACTGAGGAGGTTTACCGGATGCACCACATCACCAGTCCGCAAAAAAATCTTTCTTGAAAGAACCGAGGCAAGACCAACCCAACGCAACGAGTACAATGCACCGAAAGCAGTTACACGGGAGTCGATGCGCCACGGTCAACATGTCCCAGGGGCAACTCGTCGAATGCCATGGGGAAGGAGGAGTTGCCAACGGAGACGTCGGATGATGTGAAATAAAATAAGGTAGCAGAAAGAAGGACCGGAGTAGACTACGACAGTTAACAACCAACGGCGCAAGTAGGTGGCAAAGCATCTGAAATATGCCCTGAGTGAATCGAAAAAAAAGTGCTGCTGCTGAAAACTGACAGCATCACCATCAATGGCCGGGGGGGGGGGGGGGGGG